CTCGGGTGTAGCAGATGTCCATGGGCGGCGGTATTCACTTACCATCAGGTGAAGCGTCTGCTCGTTTGCCAACTTTTCCCATAGTAAAAAAAAATTTGAAGAAAACTCCCTAAAAAAAGTTATTTTTAAATAAGACACAGATGCCGTATCTGTGTCACTTATAACAGCAAAAGATCTTCACTTTTATGTACGATTATACATAAGATTTGATATTCGCAGCGTCTTTAGAATGTTCTGGTTCTCGTACGTCTTCCATAAAAAGCAAATAAGAGTGCCATGAAACTCGTCGGTTTGGTGTTCTTATAATGACACTGTTATTGTTATATATCTGTTGTTTAACATTTGCGGTTTGACAGTAATTAAATATAGGTATGCGATGGCATTATTTGCTGACCTACAAATGTTTCTCCGTTTTGTTTATAGACTTCATTCAAAATTGTAATTACAGTAAGTGTTTTGAAGAAATTATTGGATTTTTTTTATTTATTACTCGGTGGCGCAGTCGCAAAGATATTGGCTCCGATGCGGGTTGTAGATTCGATTCCCACACGGGTGAAGTATTTGCGTGAGTCCTTTCTCGCTCAGATTGAGGAAATGAAATATTTCTAATACCCCTCTCAACGGGATTGTGTCATCTTTCAGGTAAGTTGTTTCCGAGTAATTTTTAGGCAATGTATTTAATCTGTAAGCATTTTATTTTATTTTTTACGTGAGATGAGTGAGGCGAGTGAGTGAGACGAGAGACTGAGTGCAAACGAGCTGGCGGTTCACCTGATGTTAAGTGATAGCCACCGCCCACGGAAATTTGCAACACCCGTAGGGTTGGGAGGATGCCTTGCCACCTCTTAATAACTTGGACCCTGTTGACCTCGCCAAACGTTACGCAGAAGTGTAATATTTTCACTTCACGCCAGTCTTCTAAAGTCGTGCTACTCCCCCGGACGGACCTGCCCATTCGTGCAACAGTGAAGACTGTTACGTGTTGTTAAATAAAATGGCTGTACCAAATTTAAAAAGGAAATTTACGGTGGTAAGACCACGCAGTAGCATCGGCTGTTGCACGAATGGGCAGGCCCGTCCACGTAAGTACCACGACCTCACAGAAGACGAGCGTAAAGTGGAAGTATGACAAATACTTTCGCGTTTCGTCTGGTAAGTGAGGTAGCCGGAGCCCAATTTTCAAAAGGTTGTCAACGCATCTGTAACCCTCGGGAGTGAGCAGATGTCCATGGGCGGCGGTATTCACTTGCCGTCAGGTGAACCGTCTGCTCGTTTGGCAAATTTTCACATAAAAAAAGGAAAAATTTTATAATAGCTGAACGAAGTCTTAACTCGACTCATGGTGGATGGAATAAAAAGATTTGTAATTGCCGCCTGTGCTTAGAGTATCGTCAGCTCACGGGACGCTGGGAAAACCTGATCGTAACATAATGAACGGTTTTTTATCGTTGCCAACCAGGTAAATGTAGTGCTGGGATAAGTAAATCATACTGTAGCATTTTTACTATAAAATGATAGTGACTACGTAGTCATATACTTATATATATATATGTGGTACAAATGGTCGTTATCAGATGAGTGGATAGCAGACTACCATGCCACATCAGACTTTGTGTTAATATAAAGCAAATAAGCTTCCACATGATATACGAATATTCCTTTTTTATTGCGAAGACAAATAGTGAGTGATCGCCCCCCTTTTCTTATTTTGGAAAAACGTAGCCCTTACTTTAGGATAACATTATCCTGTGTTGTAAGGACGTTCTACAAAAATAAATTTCACGAGGACAAACACCCAGATGCGAAATAACTATCTGTGGGTCACACAAATAATTGTCTCGTATGGGGATCAAACCCACGACCCCCAACACCGAAGCCACGGAGTCATCTCCAACCCATGGATATTTAAAAACTGTTGCTATTTTAAAACATGTTGTAGTTTTATATTACTATGATGGGACCATGTAGCAGCTTCTGCTGTTGCAAGATTGGGCAGCCTTGTCCACGGAAGTACCGTGGCCTGTCTGAAGACCGTGAAGTGAAAGTTATGCTTTTGCATTTCATGGTCAGCGGCCAACTATTTTCAAGATTGTGTCTTTGTCATAGCTATTACAGGCGTACAGTACAGTGGTAAAGGCGACAAAAAATAATTATTGACAATATCACCTTTAGTCTTTCAAGTACGACATAATTAATATCTATTCGATATTAATCTGATATTAAATTGACACTGCAGAATATCTACGTTTCGAATGACCATCTCAAAACGATATTTATCTCCGTTCTTTCGCCATTTAAATGAGTTGCAGATTCGCCATTTCCCGTATTATTCCGTAAATGGCATAAAGCAATGAATATGCGATGCGAACATGCATTATTCATATAGATAAACATCGTACTAAAATGGTTCTAGAGTCGCTACTGGCAAAGCTTTGACTTTTTCTAGCTCAGACAATACCGTCAGCAGGGTCGGGTATTTTTTATGAGAATCACTGTAAGTCAAAAGTATCCAGGCATCAGCAGATCGGTGGCAGACTAATACGCTGTTACTGATGTGCTATATCAAATGGTGATGTTTGGTGAATCCGTGGCGCAGTCGTCAAGGTGTTGGCTTCGGCGTCGGGGGTCGTGGGTTCGATTCCCACACGGGACAACTGTTTGTGTGACCCAGAGACAGTTGTTTCGCATCTGGGTGTTTGTCCACGTGAAATTTATGTATGTAAAACGTCCTTGCAACACAGGATAATGTTATCCTAAAGTGAGGGCAATGTTTTAAAAAACAAGAAATAAAAGATAAAAAAACCTGTCCTGATATACCACATGAAATGTCTCGAATACGCATGTATAAACAATTTGTAGCGACGATTTCTTGAGTTTACGCGGATACTAAACACGGATATTTTATTATAAATATTTTTTTTGATTATTTAATAATCAAAAGATCTTATCGCGTCCAATTTAAATTCAAATTGAAACCGACATTGAACGGTTTATAATCCGTGAATTATTTTTATTCAATACTTTGTTATTGAAATGTGTTGTATAAAAATTATCTATTAATTTTTTATTAATTAAAAAATTATCCATTAATTTATTCGCAAATCTAAATACAATAAAAAAGTAAAATGGATCTTTGGAGAGTTTGTTTTTTTAGAATAGAAGATGGGCGAATTTAAGAAAATGGCGGCAGCTATGATATATATCTATTATTATAGTGGCATGGCATCATCACACTGAAGCAGAAGCTTTTGCATGGTCCTACGACAGATAACAGTCAATGAAATATTAGAAAATAATAAATAACTAATATGAGTCATGTGACAAACGATTAAAAAATAAATAACTTCCGGTTCAATCCCCATAGCGACGAATTTGAATTATTATGAAGTATTATCGTAAGTATTATCCATTTTACTATTTTTTTTTTAATTATAAGGGTCGGACTCTATAACGTTCAAGCAAAGACGGTTTACATAGATTTAAGTCTGTTACTTAAGTCTTACATTATTAACAGTATGTTTATATCAAAACGAATTATAAAGAAATATTTGGGTAAATACCGTAAAATAGGTGTTTGGTCATAAACAAAATTGGGATTCTTGAGTTTATTAATGAGCGTGATTAACTTAAAAATAATATAAAATAAAAAAATGGGTTTGATTTACAAATTTTCCAATACCAATATCACCACAACTTTATTCCTACAATTTCTCTCACACTCCACTTTTAACATTATTTCGATAATTAAGTAGGACCGTATGTCAAAAACTTGTTCACCCTGCCTTAGTTGGATATGAGAGAGAGTCCGGAGGTCATTTTATAACAGTATTTTATGTTGGTAAGATCCGACGTCATTCCGGTAATTTACATCACGATCGTTCAGCGATTTTACGCGATGTGACGTTCACGACTCCCCCGCTTTGCCCAAAACACCAACGTTTCTAACGATTTGCAAAATACAAATACTCTAATGTGATATTTACGTGCATGCGTTTGTTTTCTACATTATGTTTTCTATGCCGTTTAATAAAAAAATATACAAAAATGCACGACTTGAAATATGCAAATTGCTTGCATCAAATTTAATGTCTCTAGGAACTAATACTAAAGTGAAGTTTGTTGCAACAAATTTCATATTTTTTTATTTTATGCTAACATTTTTGCTAAAGATGGTATATTTAACTTTGAAGGAACAAATTGCTCACTCCATGGTTAGGCCAAACTGCCAGACGAGAGTCTTGATGTAAAGTTCGATGTTACTTTGAATTTTTATTGTCGAAGACTCAGTTACGAGTTACAAAAATACAATGATATTAAATATTTTTCCATTAACTCAATATTGTCAGTTCGTGACAGAAAAATGTAAGATTAAAGTAAGGAAGCAATTTATACTTTAATAAAAATAAATACTAGTATATTTAGTTTTGGTGGGGGTTATGTACTCTTAATCCTTCAGTGTAAGTAGACTTCGGTTTTGGTTTATCCAGATTTTAACGTTATTACCTACCTACCGAATTATTTTTTAGATTTTAGTACATTGTCTACATCTTTTTAATGTTTATTTTCAATATAACCGTTTAACTTAAAAAAATTTAATAAACGAAATGGGCATTGTTAGTTTGCCAGAAGGCATATCTTTAATCAAGTTCTTTCGCATTTCACAATATAATCAATCAAAAAATTGGGTCCGCTAACGGCAGTATAATAAATTTTCATTCCTAGGTCAGTGTGAAAGATTTGCCAATGCGTTTGTTATATTATCAGTCGTTTTTTAAAATTTTAAAATTCAAAATTGGAACGTTCAACTGTATTTCAATACGTATTAGAGTAATCGTCATAAACGCAGAAAGAAATTTTAATGGCTCAGTTTTTAAATAACCCCAAAAAATCGTAGCTCAGCCGTCACATCAATTTCTTCATAATTTTATTTGTTTTATCATTGCTGTCACCTTGCTGTACACCTTGGCAAAATTCTACAATACAATAAAGAAAGCACTCACATTTGGGCTGTCTAGCGACTTGTCCCTTCTTCCTCCTCTCGAAGAGTCTGTTGATGATGGCGTCTTTCCTTTCGGTGAAGTCGAAGTCATCGTTGAACTTGTGGTTCAGGCCCTCGCACTCCGAGTAGTGATCCTCGCCGTTGGCCGCGTCGATGTCGGCCCTTTTCAATCGATTGTGCGACAAATCCCTTAGCTCCCGTTCTGCGGTGTTCACCGAGGAGTACGACTTTCCCGCCACTCTGTTCCATATTTGCACTAAGTCCTTCATTTTTGTCACCACGCCGCTTTTTGTCTAGACGATCCAGTCCACGGTGACGTGCACAGACTAATTGTATTTAATGCGATTTTAATTGCACCGCGTATAGCACGTAAATAATCACGATAAACTAACACCGTTTTCTAAGCTACGGAACCGCTGTTTAACAAATCAGCTGGTTGCAATGTCACAGTGAAAAGGTTCAATGATCTCTTGCGACATTAATTTGACGCAAGCGATGAAATAAAAGTAAATCGATTCACCCAATTGATCATATTCAACACATTTTAGATGAATAAATTATCACTGCTACATTCTTCTATGCAATTAAAAAGAACCAAAGAACATAAAGCAAAATATATCACGTAATTATTTTCGCGCGTCAATCAAATACCGCGCCACTTTACGCACAGAAAATGTATTGTTTACTTTTTATAACAATATGTCCGCATCGGCCAGTTGTCCAGCCATCTAATGAGATCTTGCTTTACATTTCTTGTGCTTATATAAAATTTCGCAACGCACACCTTCACAGTGCTCTGCGCAGGTGTGTGTGTAAGCATGTATACGAATAACGAACCAGTTTTTTTTTCTTCAATAAACAGAAAGCAGTAAAAAATAGCAGCATAATTTTTAAAATGAGAAATGGTCACAGTATTGTTTTTTTTTAAATATTTGTGTTGTTTTTTTCACCTTGCTAAAACTATGTGACGTTGAACACTAGTGTGACGTCGCTGAATAAGGCTGATTTAAATATGGGGTTTTAACCAGAAGGGCATTTTCTACATGGAAATGATGAAGCGACACGTGATTGACGATGACTGATACATTTATTTTAAAGGCAAGTCAAGGCATTGTGGTTTTTATACAGTATAAACCAAGTTTAATATTTTTTATTATACCATTTTTTATACAGTATAACGTGTGTTTACTAATAAGAGTTGCTGAAAATTGCATAAAAACCAGACTAAAATACGTACGTCGTTTATAACCTAAAACATTCCTAACGTTTTAATCTTAGCAAATGATATCAATCGATTATATTTTGGATTATTTTAGAATCGTCGGTTTTAAGTCGTCGCTTTTATTATTAGAGGGGAAATTTCTTTATGAATTTCTTTTTATTTATAATGTTTGGCGAATTAGTAGTACCACCGACATTAACTATTCCCTAAAAAATATTTTATTCTGATTTTTAGTTTTTAAAATTAGCGAAACTAAATATTTTAAAATGCTTTCTTATTAACTTTTAAATAAATATGACGGTAGTCAATTATTATAATTTCAGGATAGTTGTCACTTTTGAATTATAACTTAATAGTTTCTTAATATATGATGTGTTGAGTCAGATGATGATGATATTGGGGGTGACCCCAGATCAGTTTACATTTAAAAATAATAAGATAGTAGAAAAATAATGTTTATAATATTTTAAGCTTAGATTTAAATCATCACTTCATAAATTGTATCCAAAAACAAAAAAGCAACTGGATATGTATTTCTATTGCTTTGTCTTTACTTCCCACAATAGAATTTAGTTTCCATCAATGACGCATCAAGTAATTATCATACAGTGTTAAATTATTATGGAACTGCGCAAAAGTTATGTATTGAAAACAGTTGATGATTACTTGTAGAGTTTTAAAAAAGTCGCATGATTATATTCGTCGTAGGATTTGTTTAAAATGAATTACAAAATCTTGATTATCTAACGTAAACAATTCAAAAATCCATGTCATATATACGTTACACATTCCACTGTAAGTTATTGCAATTAAAAAGTGTTATTACCTATAACCAAGAGTTTTCTGAACGCTAAAGAGAGTAGAAAGTCTTTACCAGGTGACGCAGATAAGATTTCGAAAAAATATGTTGTTTGCATAAAAATGATTAAACATTTATGCCGGTATAGACGGTTCACCTGATGTTAAGTGAATACCGCCGCCCATGGACATCTGCTACACCCGAAGGTTCCAGATACGTTGACAACCTTTTGAAAATTGGGCTCCGTCCACCTCACTCACCTGACGAAACGCGAATGTATTATACTTCCACTTTACGCCGGTCTTCTGTGAGGCCGTGGTACTTACCCGGACGAGCCTGCCCATTCGTGCAACAGCCGAGGCTGCTGCGTGGCCCTACCACTGCTAAATTAATTTGTATTATATGTGTTTACTATACGGTCGCGAAAAGTAAAAATATCTTTTCATTCGATACTTTTGGTATCTCCAACAAGTTTTTAAAAACAAAATTTATTACCTAATGCGCTTTAACAAATCATATTAACTTATTACGTTAGATATAAAAGGAAATAAAAATGACATCAATAAGCTTTGTCTTTGCACAGGTTATAAAACACTTGATTGAAATATGGCAGTATCTTAATTCCTGTTTTCGGCGCCAAATCCGATTTTTATTAAATATGACGTCGTCATGTTATCGGTAGCCTGACAAAACTTTCCGTGTGTATTCTTATATAGGTATTTGTTTTTAGAATGTTTTACGTATATATCTTGCTTGATCATGAAAATAATTAAAAAACAAAGTGTTACTATAGTTATTAATCGAAAGGTAGATGGTCTAACGAAACGAAAAACGTCAGCAGATTAATGACGTAGGTATAAAAGCAACCTAACTGGTTAAGGGAATTCCGTGTTTATTTGCAACATGTTTGCGTGAACCAGGGCTGTGCACTGCGCAGTACGCGGATACTATGTGTCATTAAAAGCCGAATAAGATCATTGTTATTATTCGCTGAATGACTTTTTTATAAATTATCAGTTTTCCATGCAAGCGTAATGACATTTCTTGTTTTAAATTTCCAACAGGCACCTCGAAAGGTTAATAATTAATAAATAAGTTGCGTCAGTCATAGGGATTATTTTGACTAAAATTAATCTTTAATTTTTTATTGATTAATAAGAAGTCACTTGACGCTATATAATTATGAACGGTAATTATCATTATCTTTTACTTTTAATTTAAATAAATTCGACCCTACAAAAACTTGCAGTACCTATTCAACATAAAATCTGTATAAATAGTTTCATTTAATAATGTCAATTATTCATTAAGAAATCACTAAACACTTACTTCGTCTGCGTTACGTTACAAGTAACGCAAATATCTCGTTAGTGACAGCCCTGTACCTAAGGCATAATAATTTTAAATGATATTCTTAATAGCTGGACGGGAATGTTAATTAACTACAAGAGATGTTAGTTCGCGCGAACTTTACGTTGTTCGACGTAAATGATAGTAACCTAGTAGTACCTACGTTGTTTTAAATTGACATCACAACAACGTAACTAACCCCATCTAACGCCTGGCTTCTGAAACACTGACCATCGTAAAAGTTAACTCATCAGCTGTCAATTGGCTTTTTAAATGTTATTTGAATTGCCAAGAGATTGTTGAACTGTTTGAATTGATTGAAGTGATGTTTAACGTGAAAGAAGGATGCTTAACGTTATGGATGCCTACGTGGAAAGCCACTTGACAGCTGATTAGTTGACATCTACGATGATCAGTGTTTCAGAAACCGGGCCTAAGCCTGTCAAACCATAGATTTAGATGCTAAGTCTATGTGTCAAACAGACAAAATGGCCGCCTGAACGCTTTAAATATCCAATTCCGATCCTCTTAATCCTTACTAATATTATATACGCGTAAGTTTGTATGTATGGATCGATGTTTCTTACTCTTTCACGCAAATACTACTGAAATGATTTTAATTAAACTTTAAAATAATACAGCTTATACATCCGAATAAGACATAGGCTGTAATTTATAGACATAATTTTTGTATACCTGTCTTTTTATCCTATTATTACACCTTCAGCCTATTCTACGCATACGTAGTCGCGGGCAGCAGCTAATTTTCGATAATAATGGAGTAGACAAATAGATAATGCTAATCTTAATATATAGAATTAATTAATTCATTGCCAAACTCATTACGCGATTTGCCTGTCGCGGTACACGGAGCTCTAATGTGAGATGGCAATTGTTTCGCGTACCTAGTTAATGCGAACAACCGGATCTAATTTGCACTAATTGCACGCTACTAAGATAAGATCCCGCGCCGCAAGTTCGACGTCCTTCAGTAAATGTATAATACAAAACGGGTCAAAATAAATCATTAAAGAGCCTACACACTCTTTAATGATTCATCGTATAAAAAACGTGGTAGGGCCACGCAACAGTCTTCGCGATTGCAAGAATAGGCAGGGCCACGACACAGAAGTCAGCGTGAAGTGAAGGCACGAAGGCAAAAAAATTACTTTCTACACTTAATATGTTGTCATAATAAAAGTTAAACTTATTTAAGTTTTTAATATAATTTAGTGATACTGAAAAAATGATACACAGTAGTTTAATTCCCAACTAAAGTCCATCTTACTCATTTATAGCAGCGGGAGCGTAGTGAACTATTACGCCTTTCGAAAGACACGGGTTGGGATACCAGGGTAGTGAGTGTCAGTGTTTTCTGTTTTTTGGATTTTCCACTGCCATTGTCAGTCGTAACTTAATAATAAAATGAATTTAATATAATATAAATGAATCCTTCATTTCACTCTTCATTGGCCGAAGCCCAGACTCTTATACAGCAATTACTGAAAGAAATCGAAAAATGGAGAAAAATCTATTTTTTTTATGTGACAAGTTGCTAAGCGAGCAGGCAGTTCACCTGATGTTAAGTGAATACCGCCGCCCGTGGACACCTGCTACACCTGAGGGTTGTAAATGCGTTGACAACCTTTTGAAATTAGGCTCCGGCCACCTCACTCACCCGACGAAACGCGAAAGTTTTATACTTCCACTTTACGCCGGTCTTCTGTGAGGTCGTGGTATTTACCCGGACGTGCCTGCCCATTCGTGCAACAGCCGAGGCTGCTGCGTGGCCACCACAGTGAAATACTCTGTCACAGTTTTATTAAAACATAAATTACTGCCCGTAGTCTTGATGTTATTAACTAGAATATGCACACAAGAGTATAATGAACGCGATT